CCTTGTCAACATATAAGAGATACGCGGATAATTTTTGAGCCGAGAAATTGTCGGAGAACGAAAAAGTTTATTTGCGAGTAATGATGACGTGGTAATCGAACAATATCGAGACAATCCAATAGAAATTTTATTAATGGTAGAGGTTATTTCTTTTTTGCTACCACCTAATTGGTGCTGAAGTAAAGACGATAAACCAATAATGGATTGAGTATTATTAAGATTAAATTTCATATTGTTTATTTTGTTGACACTTCGAAGTTGCGCATGGTTAAAATGTGGTGCAGAGTTATTTAAAGATCTAAGGATAGAGATGCTAAACTTAATTGTACATTTCATCATGCAACACTTATGAACTAATTTAATTTATCGAAGACAATACAATTTTTAAAATTTCAATGAACGAGCCAACAATATGAAAAGATCATAATATCAAAGTTAAAAAAGATGTGTGTTGTGGTAGATAATCAACAAACATTGTATATTGCTATTACTAAATTAGTTATATAGGTAAAAATTGAACTAGACAATATGTTGATTGTCTATCACGTGTTTTAGAAATAGAGATATCGAGATCGTTTTTTTTATAAATCAAAGACGTTTTTCACTTTAAACCTTAAAATTTTTATCTTTTTTTTATCTTTCTCTAATTATCTGATTCAATATTACGACGATGGTACCAGCAACTAATTTAATTAGCAGCGCTAATCCATTCACACATGCTTTAATTTTGCAATTTTTAGAATCAAACAATTACAAAAATACTTTGGCAGAATTCCGTAAAGAGGCTAATGAAATTATTGAAATTATCGAAAATAATCCTGAATTATTTGATGAATTGCCTTCTAAACCTTTGACCGCAATCGTACAAGATCATATTACAGAAGAAGTGAGAAAAGAGGTAGAAAAGCTGGATTTGAATAAGAGGTAAAATAATATAATGATGTGTTTATCATGATTAATCATTTCAAAATTAATTAAGAATATATATATATATATATATATACAGTAATATAGATGATGATTTATATACCCCTGGGACCACAATCTATCCTCGTTATCTCTGCGAAACGTTCTCCAAA